TTCTGTAGGTAATTCTGACTTTTAGAGAGCTGGCCTTCCACTGTGCATTTCACTGAAAATTTAAGCAAGTTTCCAGAACTCTCAACACACACGGAAAAAATGAAGAGCTGCATGCGGCCCCAGTGTGCCACCTGATCCTGCCTTGAAAGCTCCATTTGTGTAAAGGGGGGGAGCGTGTATGGTTGGAATCAAAAGGTTCAGATTCCAGCAGCGACGTTATTGAATTAGTCGAGGAGCCAGCACGAAGGAGCTGTAATTGCAAAGGATGAATATTCCGCTGAAGAGGTTTAACAGATATTGCATCTGGCTCCCAGATCTTGGTCGTGACTATTTCACATCCCTTCCGTTTGCCCTGTCTCCATACAAAATGCCTTTGAGCAAAGGTTACTGGATTTTCACTCTGAGACTATGCAGAAATCAATAAACAAATGCATTTAGGTTTTATATTGCTTCCCCCAAACCAAGCCACATTTATTTTATTTAGTGATACCGTGAACGGAAGAGTGATGATTTACCGCACATGTACCAGCAGCTTCCCAAACCAGCAGACATTCTAATAATATCTTAATGGAGTTAAGGTATTTCCTTTCATGAGCACACAACTATCCGCAATTATTTACATAAATCTAAAATGAGGACTATTGTGTGGGGGCTGAAAATCTTGCTCATTAAATTGAGTTGCTTGTAATTCCAGGAGTCACAGCGCAAGAGGGACTTTACAGATCAGTAACAAGTTTAACAAGAGGAAACAAATTAAGATTAAACACGGTGTTCTCTAATTGGAAGAAATTTGGGACTAACAGAGAAGCCATACCTGGAGCTAGGAGTACAATCAAACACGTTCAACAATTTTTTCAGAATGGTGGAAAATACAACAGAGTTGGGTTCAAAAAACTTCAAAATTGTATCTCTAAATGGGCTGAATGGGGTGGAACAGCAAATGGATTTGAGTGTAAATAAACGTATAACAACACACACTGTAGCAAAATAGCCTTTACTTTTGTGTACCCATTACTGGGTCAGAACTGGCCTGATCAAGACAAAGATCTCCATGTTACGATGGAAAGTTCAATGAAAAGATTACCTCCCTGTGCAGAAACACTGAAAAATAGAGCATGGGGGTGGCTAGAGACTATTGTAGAAAACAACTGAATACAAAGCAGCCAACGGTGCAACGCTTTCACCTAAATCTATGATGTTGCTTTGAGCTACTATATACTGTAGTCCTACAGTCAATTCATACCCAAAAAAAGAGAAAAAAAGAAGGCATTTTACAGTTAGACCCGGTGTAGGAGATGCCAACCAAAACTAAGGAGGACTTTGAGTTCCTTTCCTATAAGGCGAAAGCAAAGCTGAAGGCTTTTAATCTGAGGTGAGGGAGGTAAGGATTATTAGAGGGGAATGTCCATGCATGATACAGAGAAACAAAAGAGCTTTTTCCTCTCCCTCCACTGTCTTAACGACAGAACTTGGAATGCCCCAGGGAGTTATCCACCACAGATTTAGGACAGACAATTTATGGAACTCAATGCTGCAAGAAATGTGACACTGCCACCGTCACCTAGATGATCACAACCACAGAAGACATGTTAGGCAAGTTCATGGATTATTTACCATCCAGATAACTAAATGAAGCTTCCAGTTCAGAAGCCGAATATTGTTGGATACCAGCGGATAGGTAACTCCCCTCTTCCCTCACTTGTGTTCTGAGAAGCACCTGGACTAGCAGGCCTTTTTACATATTCTCTCCAGTGGACTCACAACAGAACCAAACATGGCTTTCAAATGCTTGACAAGAAAAGAGAAAGCTCTCATGAAGGACAGTGGGTCTTGACTTGTAATTAGGCCAGTTAAATGACTTCTCCTTTCTCTCCTGTCTCTTTGCAATGACCACAGAGCATCAAATTCAATTTTCCAGTTCAACTGACCCAAGTACTACAAAGGCTTTCCTCCAAATACTACTACTGCTACTACTGATAATAATAAATAATAAATAATAAA